CCCTTTCCACTCTTATCCTCCTTAAGCCTACTGCGAAGTTTTCCAGAAGCTAAATGGTAGGTGATACTGCAACAGATTGAATGCAGAAGCAGCCTTATTGCCCTTGGCAATGGGGGCTGGACTATGACCAAACCCTCTTCAGACACCACCAGTGATGGCTTAGGTGCATTTTATTGGTTTTGTTTCAGAATCCTACAAAAGAGCAAAGTCAAAAACCAAGGCCCTGGCAAGACAGTGTGAACGCTTCCTCATTCCAGGAGCCCTCCACCCCTCCCCATGTCCCCAGCTGTGTCTCTGATGCAGTTCATGGGGGTAGAGGGCTTGCTACTTATGCCCCCCACCAAGCCCCAAAAGGGAAAGACTTACCACCTAGCAACTCCCTCCCCTCACCCCCACATCTCCCTCAAGTTGATCCTGGTTACAGCAGGCCACAGTAAGAACCGCTGGGATCCAGCAGCAGTTCCGAACCCCAGAAGGCCATGGCCAGGGCACGGTCTGTGAAGAGCACATCGTCATCAGGCTCGGTGCTTCTACAAACGACGCTGGGCCCAGCACCTGGGAGCAGAGAAAGAGAAATCAGTGAAAACCCAACAGCTTCAACCTCAGTTGCCCCAGGAACAGGGAACTCAAGACTCACACATAAGATTGGGCAGGTTGTACATAGCACAAAGGTGCCACCTCTGAGTAGGCACCATTAACATCATAGACGTCACACACAGGTTTCACATTCATCATAGACATGTATTATAAGCCATGACCAGCAGCCTCCCCTGCCCCATCTCTCTGCTGTTACCACCTCACTCCCGGAGGCCAGTTGCACACCCTTGGGCAAGGGAGGACCAGAGGTCAGGGCCTCAGCTGGGAGCTGGTGCAGGTAGATGCAGTCGGATTTGAAGGGGCAGCGGCCATTCCCCCGCATAAAGAACCGGCATCGGATCTGGCTATGAGAGGGCAGAAAGAGAGAAGAACGTTACCTTCAAGCCCTGTTGCCCCAAGAACAAGGGGCGCTCACTGCTGACATAGAAATTCGGGCAGGTTAGCCACAGCTTCGCTCCCCAACACCCAGGCTGGGCCGCACCCGCTGCCTGAGCCCTGCCCCTTCCCTCAACCGTGTCTGTGGAAAAACTGCCTTCCATGAAACTTAGGAACTGGGCTGCACACAGGAGGTGAGCAGCGGGCCCGTGAGGGGAGCTTTGAAGCTTCATCTGTATTTTAGCTGCTCCCCATGGCTCCCATCCCCGCCTGAGCTCCGCCTCCCCACCCCGAATACTTGGAAAAATTGCCTTCCATGAAACCAGTCCCTGGTGCCCAAAAGGCTGGAGACCGCTGCTCCGCAGCACAAAAGCCCCACGTCTAAGCAGGCACCACCGACATGGTCCTGCAGCTTTCACATTTATTCAGTCTTCCAGCAGATGGCACTAGAGTATCTTAAGGGGCGACTTTCTCTAATCCTCACGAAGTCTTCACTTGGGCCAGCAGTGGCCCTGGAAATGTCTCCGGAACAAGGCTGCCTGTCTCCCGGGCAGAGACAGGAGCGTCCTCTTTGTGCCTCCCTGTACCCACATACACTCTGCACACATCCACTGAGAGAGGAAGCTGGAATTGTAGCAAATTCCAGATTTTGGATAAAGGCTTGCCCTCCTCAAGAGATTAAAACCTACGCAGCTTTCCCTCATCTCCACAGGTGGCCTTTCAGTCCCCTAAGCGCACAGCACATATTTATATCAATTTACTTTCTTGCCTTAAAATGTTTTGGAAGTGAAAGCCAATCGGGGCTTCTCGTGGCGCCGAGAGAACCAGAGCTGCCCTGTGTTGATCCTAAGCCAGGTCAGAAGAGAAAACTGGCCCTGCTGCTCCTTCTGCTGTCTCAGCCACTCCTTTTTTTTTTTTTTTTTGAGACAGGGTCTTGCTCTGTCACTGCTCACAGCAACCTCAAACTCCTGGGCTCAAGCGATCCTCCTGCCTCAGCTTCCTGAGTAGCTGGGACTACAGACATGTGTCACCATGCCTGGCTAAGTTTTTTTCTATTTTTTGAAGAGACGAGGTCTCCCTCTTGCTCAGGCTGGTCCCAAACTCCTGGCCTCAAGCAATCCTCCCACCTCGGCCTCCCAAAGTGCTGGGATTACAGGTGTGAGCCACCACACCTGGCACACTCATCATTATTGACCGGGCTCTCTGAAATGGTGACAACAGCTCACACCCTTCCCTGCCGTCTTCACCACTCTGAACTTCCAGGGTTTTGGGGATCCCGGGCTGGGAACCATGACTGAGCCAGGATGGATCATGGGCTACCTTCCCTTCCTCCCCATCCCTGAGTCACGTTCCCCCTGCCAGCCTCACCTGGTCCGAGCCTTGAAGTTCCTGATAAGCTGCTCCTTCTCAGCCCCCTTGCTCACCCAGAACTTGTGGGGGATGATGTAGCTGGAATGGACGCGGCACTGGGGACAAGCCCTGCACAGTGGCGTGGGGTGGAAAGGAGACTAGTCGCAATCCTGCAGGCCGGCCCCTCACCCACACCCCCCGGGGCATTTCCCCCCCTTGCTGGCCCTCTGCGACACTGACTTGATGACATCCAGCGGGAAGTCCTGCCGGTTCTTCCGCCAGGTGCGCAGGCAGCCCAGGCAGTAGGCGTGGGTGCAGTTGGGCAGGATGCCGAAGACCCGCTCGGCCTCTGGCTTGTCCCACACTTTGTCCATGCAGATGCCACATACCACATCCTGACTGTCCTGCTTCCCCTACAGCCACAGGCAGGTCAGACGACCCCACACCCCCAAACAC